GGCAGCACAGAAACCACATTTGCCAGGTATACTAGGTAAGCATGTTAAGAATGACTTCCAACTACGTATCCTAATCCACAGCCTTTACTGGCTGAGCAATTCAAGGCTGATTATCAAAAGGAATTGACTGTAAGGAGCTGGTTTAAAGAGCATTTGCTTTTGCTAGGCCATTTTTTAGATCATGGTCTAAAAAGCGGTACTGTAACCAGTGCACAGGAGTAATAAGCATAAGAAAGTGTACAGAAAAGGTGTAAAAATTTGAAGTGATTTGCTTGCAACATGTGTAAGAAAACAAAACCCCCTTAGGTTTAAACTAAATATCCTTGCTCTTGATACAATTTATTTTTCAACCAGAATAGGTAGCAATAGAAGTAGTATTCCAGATTCTGTTAAAAGTAATAGTCCCATTTATATTGCATTTTATGTTTAGTATTTTTATTCCTAATTTTTTAATTAACATTCTTAAAGTAAATTGTACACACATTTCCCACCCTGATATTGGCAGTGCTGAAAACGTTTTTGCACCATTCCATCTCTTGTTCGTCAGTATATTTTCAAAAGCCTTATGTTACAAAATCACCCAGTTACAATAAGTAAATAAATGAAAAAACCCTGAAGTTTCCTCTCTCCAAAATACTCAAAGGAATAATTATGCATAGCATTTTATTTTATTTCCAAGGCCAAAGAGAGAACAAGTTTTCTTCATACCAAACCTTTAAAGAAACTGGTTTACTGCATCCAAAAAAATCCTAAGCATGAAGTAGATAGACTACTTCGTAAATGAATTAACAAGTGGGAACAGGAAGCTTTACACATAAATTTGGTATCAGTGAAACAGAGGTAAACGTCAACCCAAACAGTAACACCATCAGTCAGTGTCCATGATTGCAAAAAAAAAGTTCTAGCTACCGCAAATCATTTCCTAGCTTCTATATACATTTTAAAAAACATTGTTTAGCAGAGAGAGAGACTTGGTCTCCGGAGTCCTAATTAAGAGTTGTTTTACTACAGAAAAGTCATGAAAGATAGTGCTAGGGGTTCATGTAGGAACTAATCTCCATTTAAATCAATAGATTTGAGTTTAAGCCAATTTGAAATGAAAGAAAGCAAGAAAAGATTGTTAGCAAGCTGAAAAGATATTTATACTCTACAGTGGTATAAGAGAGTAAATACTTATGCTATGAAGGATCCCAAGGAACTAAAATGCTATTAAAAGGTCCCTTGAATGGGATCTTAGGCCTATTCTAGCAGATGCCCTTGCTTGTCTAAATCTAGACAAACAGATATATCTTGCAGCATAAGGAGAGAACATGGAAATGAGCTCACTGAAGACCTGGCACAGCTCTTCCGTGAGTCCTGCAAGGTTTCCTGTGCAGAGCACAGGTAATGAGCAAGGGAACAGGAAAAGATCTAAATCACCAAAAAACTCCACAAAAAAACACCCCATTTAAAGGAAAGGAACAGTTACACTTGTCTACAGCTTTTCTTCAGGGGCAGGAAGGAAAACAGCCAAAGGAAAATGAAGGGATGTACAGAAGGATGCTCAATTTTGTACTTAAGTTCAACTATTATTTCCAGGAAATACATGAGTGCCCACATACATGTAGTTAAACACTGTCCAGTGGGTAACAACAGTGGCTGCTTTATTTACAGGGTAAGATCAAAACATACCTGTAGTATTGTAGAAGTCTTGTAACAACTTCTGTTGGTCCTTGCTTAACAATTGAGGAATTAGATTCAAATGTTAAGTCTTTTTGTTATTTTGTAGGGAGTTAAATCGACAATAAATAATTCTAGTCAGATACAGGGTTTTTATTTCAGATGTGTTTTCAAATCCTCACATTAGAAAGGGCAAAGATCTAGGTCTCCAAATATTTCTCTGCACACTTTTCTGGTTTTAATTAAGTTCATATTAAATGCACATTGTATGTCTATCACAACAATTACAAACAAAAATACTTGAGTACGAGTAGAAGTCTTTCCCTAATAAAATTATTTCCACCATTTCATACAGGCACACATTAAGAATGCTTGGGGATTTCTCCTTAAGTGTCATTTAGTTTAGACAATCAAGCACATATTGTCTATGTCAACACCTTTGTGGAACCTTAGCTGTGGAAGAGGAAACTCTTAAGAAGCATCACCTGTGCCCCTAATAAAGCATTATGCAAAAGAGCTTGTAATTTCTCTGATTTGCTAAAGTGGTATGAAATCTTTTGACCAGTACTGGCCAGTCTCAGTATTAAACACTCTGCCTAAAACAGGAGTTGGGCTGAACAAACTACAGCTACATTAGGATTGTTGCTCCCTACCTGCTTTGAAAGCAGAGTATTTAGACACAGCACAAATCTCAAAACAATTGCTACTTTTTTACCATTAAACAACCTGGCCTTCCAGAGTGTCATTCACTACCCCAGGACGTTTATCACTGTCATGCTCATTTTCAGCCAAGCATATGGAGTTTTTCCCTTTCTAGGTTAAGTCTTCCATGCCAGATGGGCACTTGAAGCCCCAGAGATTACTTGCAAAGCTGCACAGAAAACTGAAATACAAACTGGAGAGAAGAAGCTCCCAATGGTTTGTGTTACAAGGGAACCAATTTAATGAAATGACAAAACTTTCCTATTCACATTTAAGTTTGCATACATCACTGATTGTCTATATTGGGATAGAAGCAATTGTGAAGGAAAATAAAAACCTTCAGCAAAAATTAAACATCCAAAAACATGAAAAATAAACAGTCTGGGATTTCTGTAGCCTGTCCAGTGTGAAAAGTGAGAGAGGTGGGGGAAAGGCACAGTGTTTGGTGTTCAGTGGGGCACAACTTCTCCCAACAGGGGTCTGCTTGCACACATGTACACATGTAGTACAAATGATACTCCAACACAGGTGTAATTAAGTACTATTCCAGATCTTCAAAGAGAAATTCCAGGATACATTTGAGAACACAGATTTTGACTTCTGATACAGTATTTTTCAGGAGTGGTTTGTTTTTCCTTAAAGCGAGCAAAGGATTGAGAAAGGAGTGTGTTGCTTTGGTGTCTCTGTTTTCAGAAAAAGAAGGTACAAGATATTTATGGAAGGACATAGGGAAGCACAAAGGCACCTCATGTGCCTTCTTGCAGGTGTTGGGAAAGGAGATTTCCCCTCTTTCCTCCATCCCAGAGGAGGCTTCTCTTCCTCACCCTTGACAGTCCCTCAAAACTAAAAGGTAAAGAACTCATTTGTCACTGTATTTGCTTAACCAGACAGCATGCTGCAAGTGCATTTTAAGTACACCAGACTGGAAGCATACTGAATTTATATGTTTTCTCCTCTAACATTTATTACAATCTTTTCACCTTTTACATATAGCAAAAATTGCAACATAGTTGCTGAAACATGTGCAGTACTCAATGATATACAATATTAATTGCTCAATCAACCTGCATTGGCACACTGGATTTAACATGCCACATTGAATTACTGATCATTTTTCTAACCTTACCAAGTCATTCTGGGGCAGACACATCTGCAGTTTAGCTTGCGTATTTTTTAAACACCTGCTTCCTTAACTACTGCAGCATCACTAGTTTGAACGGAAGCACACAACGTCATGCCTTGCACATTTTGATGCCTGACTACACACTTCACAGATGTTTATTTCATTAATGTTTCTTTAAGCTTAGGAAAAATTTCTGCATTTTATTGGAAACAATTTTTTTTACTAGCATACCATGCACTGAATTGATATGTTCTGTGCTGAATTAAAGTTACTTCAATTCTTTTAAAGAAAACCCACAAGCAAAGTATCTAATTTTTTGAGTGTTCTTCTAATATCAAGGCAGAGAATCTGTATCAAAAGATAGCCTTACATCAAACACCACCTTTATCTTATTAACATTCTCCAGTTTTTAATCAGAAATACATATTTGTAAATATAATATAATGGAGGAAGGGCAATATTCACCCAACAATATCCTTTAACTTGATAATGTAAAACACCAATAAAAACTGAAGGTAATGTTAGCTAAAACTTATACGACTGATAAGCTAATAGCTGTCAAACCCCTGTTGTGGTCCCACATTTTACCTGATGGATCAAACCGCACAATTTCCATGTGTGTTGTTTGTCCCATAAGACTATCACAACTGCTATACAGAACATGTCACACCAGATTACAGAACTGTGATTTTTACTATAAAGTAAGTATTATTTTGCACAGAAATTACGGCCGGAGAATATGGTGAAGAGCATAAAGCATAAATTGTTTCAGCATTTTGTATAAAACTAAGAAAAACAGCACAACTTTTAAGACAACTGCAGCCTTTACTGTAACTTGCTCATTAAATAACTCCTGGACATTGTTGTAGTAATAGTGCTCCGGAAGCAATGCAAGATTTCTATTTTACAGCTTATGCCTTATGCACAAGAAGAAAGTATTGCTAACTCTTACTATCTCCCTGCTTCCATAGCAGGATATGCTTCCTTATCTCTAGCATTAGTCCTTGTTTACCTCATTAAGCCCCTGCTCTTCACTAAGAAGCCATGAAATATCAATTAACTAATTCCACATTACTTCCTGACAACTAATAGCAGAAATAACCACAGAGCTATCTTTAGTAAATTCACTGTTACCCTAAAAAGTTTAAGAGAGTAGAACAGAGATGAAAGACAACCCAGCTATGTAAACAAAGCCCGCCAACATCAAAGTTGCAGAACAAGTTAAGACACTAGTGAGCTGTAAATCAAGAGTATCCTGATCTACAGCTTACCTTGTTTTTAAAAGTTATTTCTGTTACAATTAGGAACCACATTGATTTTATTTTCTTGTCTTATAATACATCTTACAGACAGAAAAACAATGTATATTACCTTTTGTATTAAATCTTTATAAAAGCATTTATGCTCAAAACTTCAGCATTGTGATAAATACTGTGGATGTAAGATTATGTCAGATCATTTTATTTCCCTGCCAAGCATTCTGTAGATGAGAAAATGAGTTCCTACGATTACTTACCCATGAAGTTCAGATAGCTCTCTCCTCCAAGTGCATGAGTAATGAGACGAATCATTTTATGAAGCTGTATTCCACGATCAATAACTGGAGTAAGAGGTGAGAGCACACTCATGTTTGTATACATCTCTGCATCCATCAGTCGAAACGCCAGTGTCTTGTCACCAACAAGCGCCTATAACAGTTCATAAAAAAAGTGAAAACCATCCTTCTGGTGTACTAGAAAAGTTTCTAATGTATCGTTTTAAAGCAGGCACCCTATATCGTAAGGGAAGGGCTTGGATTGTCGAGGACACGGCTCAGTGTGCACAACCTAGTCCATGTTCACAAGGAAAACATCCTGCCACCACTGATGAAGTCACAGCGACCCTGGCTTCCAATGAGTGCAACTTGGTACTGTGTGAAGTGTAGTCGCATGGGCGTGATATATACAATCTGCTGCCAGAAAGAGCAAGTACGTAAATTGAGGCAGGGACGTCTTTGAGCTGAGCCTTGACTGGATGCCTGACCCAACCATCTGTTTTACCTTGCAACCCTCCATGTGGTTACTGGGGCTCCTTGCACCAAAGAGCATGGGAGTCTATGATCAATAAGATAATAGCTGTCTAACCCCTGTCGTGGTCCCACATTCTACCTGATGGATCGAACTGCACAATTACTTTGAGAACCTTTTTGCCTACAGATATCAAATGCAAATTACTTAGTGTCAACTCCATAAGCCACAAGTGAACTACTATTTTGGAACTTTTATAGAAAACACAGAAAATATGAAAGCAAACATCTCAAGTAAAGTTCCCGGTGTGCACAAATAAAGGAGAATTAACAACACTCCTGATTTAGAGATGCAGAGTGAATATGAAACGTTCGTTTATATGCAATCAAGAACGTACTTGGTTTTCTGCGACTTCACACAAGAAAGAAAAACAAACTAGTAATTCTGTCTAAAAACAGTGACTGAATTACCAAGTTGCTAGTGTTTACTGTTACGTAAGAAAGGCCACACTAATGCTATGTAACAAGGATTATTCTAATATATTAACATTCAGGTTGTTGAGAATATTTTAGAGTGTTTATACATGAATAGCTAATTTTTGTTCAATTAGCCCAATTCTCATTTTATACTCTAGCATGAAAACTCACTAGATTCGAGACAGATGTGTTGTTAACGGGTGTAGCTGAAAAGCAAAATTATCCTTTAGTTTTCCATCCAACAGTATAACAGCACATATAGATGATTCACTCAAGTAAAAAAATGATCTTTTGGAAAAAAAAATTCATATGCAACAATGGCACAACTGAAGACTACAATGAACAGCTGCAAGGAACAACTCTTCTCTGCACTCAGAATGTGGCATTGGTTAGTGTCATATAATGTCCCCATATCTTTTCATTAGAAGAGAAAGTAAGTGTTCACTATTCATGTTTTCTATGCTAGCCATGACTTTATAAACTGTTATCCTTCCCCCTTCAATGATATCTGCCTGAAGGTTCTTAGTGTATTTAGTGCTCTTCATATGAAACCCAATCTACAGATGCTATTATTCTTAGTAATTCCCTCAATCACATCTTTCCAGTTATGCTGTATATCCTTTGAGATACAGGACCAAATCTGCCTCCAACATTCAAGATGCACACAAACCATGGAAGACTAGAGTGGCATACTGATTATTCTTTGCTTTACATTCCATTCATAATAATTCCAGTACTGTACCTGCTTTTCTGACAGCTACAAGCATTGAGTTGCTCTTTTCACACACTTCTTGTAACCACCCATATTCTGGCTAGTAAGTCATAGCCCATTGTAATACATGAGAATCTAGAACTATTTCAGCCCCTCAAGTATGTCAAGACTGAATTCTACCTATACTCCCATTTTGTTTCCCTATCCTACTTCTCACATACCATCACTTCAAGACCGATACTGGGCTGCTGGATCGTGTCCAGAGAAGAGCAATGGAGCTGGTGAAGGGTCTGGAGCATAAATCCTGTGAGGAGTGGTTGAGGGAACTGGGGTTGTTTAGCCTGGAGAGGAGGATACTCAGGGGAGACCTTATTGCTTGTTACAGCTACCTGAAAGAAGGGTGCAGAGAGGTGGGTCTTGGTGTCTTCTCCTAAGTGACAGGTGATAGGACAAGAAGAAACAGCCTCAGGTTGTCCCAGTGGAGGTTTAGATTGGATATTAGGAAAAAATTTCTTCACTGAAAAGGTTGTCAATCATTGGAATGGGCTGCCCAGGGAAGTGGTTGATTCACCATCCCTGGAGGTATTTAAGAGGCTTGTGGACAACGTGCTCTAGGGACATGTTTAGTGGTGGTATTAGCAGTATTAACAGTTGGACTTGATGATCTTAAATGTCTTTTCCAAGCTACGAGATTCTACAATTCTTGTGTATGTCTGCAGTTGTCTTTATAATATTTTAAATTCAAAATAAATAGATCTTCTTCCCAAGTATGACATCCTAAACTAAAAATACATAGTGATATGAAAAATAACTACAGTGATTAAATCCAGCATGAAATAAAAGAACAGCAACAATAATATTACATGTCATGCTTTAGGATGAAGAGCTAGCTTTTATAAAAGCAAATAATCACAGAATAATATGCATTACCAAGTAACACCTGAAGTTCTTTATCAGAATGCCACTCTTCTCTCATGCCTTAAGTGAACACTGTCTAACAGTCTGAGGTAAGTATGGGAATAGGAATGCAAAAATGAAGCTGATAAACTCAGAATTCTCTTTTTAAATTAAAATAAAGGCCTTGTTGTGGCCACTGTTTACTTTTATTATAGAATATAATTTAGTATAGGAAATAGAATATTAACCTCTATTATGTAGAGAAAAGAGTGGAAGGTAGGTTACTTGGAAAAAAAAAAATCTTTTTTCTAACAAGAGCTTGAAGTTCCTAATTTTAAACTTTTCAACAACCATTTCAAAGATTGTAGGAAAATCAGTGTTATACAAACTCATCATTACTTTTGAACTTCTCTGTATAAAGAACCATCACAATTACTGTGTTTTGAACCAAACTGTTAATATTTCATTTGGAACTCAAAAGAGAATGTCTGCAATCCTTTCAGAGAGGAATACAACAGTCACAAACACTGTTTTAGTGAAAGAATTAGTTAAGATGTTGTTTATCATAAATAGTGCTCCAGCTCACTTTATGGAAATCAGATTTTCAGAAGTATGAATTGTATGCCTTCTTATGTCCTAAAACAGGCAATCAAAACAAAAATCAAGGACTCATTTCTTAAAACAAAACTGAAAAATAACACCACCCACCCACTCCACACAGGACTCCTTTATTAAAAAAAAGGATCAAATCAGAACAAACAAACAAACAAAAAAGCTCATAAAAACCCATCAAAAATCCCACTAGTCCAGATCTACCTCCCTCTGAAACTGTTGCCTAACCTTCTCAATTCTTGCCTTGTTTTTGAAAGCCAAAACGCACCAAACTTCTAAGACTCTTCCTTTTACTTGCTTATATTTATATGAACAACCTGATAAAATACCTGGTCGTGACTCTCTGCATACGCAATGTATTTCTCTTCATACCGTCTGTTTGTCAATGTATGCACAATATTGCCCATATTCCAGTCTTCATCTTTCAGTTCCTTAATTATCTGCAAAAATAAAGATCATTGAAAGGTTATGGCTATTTTAACTAAAAGTACATTACTACCTTTCATTCTCTTTGCACAGAAAATTCCAATGGATTGTGAACTGTATTTCTTTAACTTTCATTCCCAAGCTTTGAACCTACGAGCTTTATCTGATAATCCAAAGAAAGTTTTTTGTTTTGAATTCCACCACATAAAATATAATAACTAGAACACTTTGCTTCTCCTGTACTTCCACGCATAAGCATGGACAACAGGACTTGCCAGCTCTCATGTGAATCCTCCAATACAGTGGATAATGTGACTGATAGTAGCTGCAAGAAAGCAAAAGTGGGAGGAACTAAGTGGGCACACATCTACCTACAAACAATACTGAAAAGTCCTGTATTTCAAGCAATGCTGGTACACGCCAGCTTTTGACTATAGCTTTGCTGTGGTGGTGAAGGGATGACTGCAAGAGATCACCAGGCTGTTGCTATGAAGTAAACAATAACCCGAGAAGGTGCTTAGCCCAGAGACTTGCACATTCCCCTGATCTGTGCATTCCTGGTCTGTTCCAAGTGAGTTTCAATGCCAAAGCTTTGCAACGCAAAACAAGCTTTACATTTTTGCCATGCTAGCTCCTGGAGATCTTTCAGGTTTTAAACTGATTTTAGGAAGTTGCCTAGAAAACTTAAACCAATACATACTTAAAAGGAGAAAAATGAGAGCAAGCAGTCTAGGGCAGTTTAATAAAAGGTGATAGACCATTTCTAAACTTTCCCCTACAATGGTTTCAGCTTTATTTTTTGCCTCAAGGAATGTGGTAAACTATGTGCATTGCCCTCTTTCTCTAACTCAAGGTCTTCTGTGGCGGTTGCTTATTTGCAGTTTCCTTAGCTAGAAGCTTCCTGCCTGCATCACCCTATGTCTTTGCAAAATCAACACATTCCTAAATAACTGGAGTCTCCTGGGAAACATTCTACACTATCATAGCTGACTTCACACCCAGCATCTCATCAGCGTGCCAAGCATCCACCTGCTGTCCCATGTTAAATAAATGCTTAGGCTGGAAGACTATATTTTTTTTTTTGTTAAAGAACAAAACTTACTGCAGTATAGATATGTTTTCTCTCCTAGTATTGCACATGAAAATAAGTAGACCATATCAGAGATTGCTAGATTACATTATCCACCTTTTGCCCTTGTACAATTCTACAGTCTGGTTTTTTTTTTCTTTTGTAATATGAACTCGACCACTCACATTTTGCCTACCTAGGAAATTGCTCATCTTTGCCTGTCCTCAAGTGCAGTAGTGGAGTTGAAGGTGTAAGGAAGAAAAAAAAGCCATCACAAGGTCATTCTTATTACTACAAAAATATGAGCCCTCACTGCATTCCAGATCTAAATTACACACCCCAAAGTCTACTGATGCCATCCCTGTTGGAAAAGCTGGCATTTATCTTCCAAATGAAAAGAGGTTTCAAACCTTTTTTTTTCAAATCGGCCCTCAACCTCCTAGTTAGAAATGTGAAAGACGCTGAAGGTAAGTTAATTTGCTTTTTATTTTAAGCTGTTCACTATATTTATTAAAGCATTAGTGTTTATATAAAACATTTATTGTTTTCAGACCATCATGACAGCCTGAGAGATTTGGATACGATCTACTACCCAACTGGAACATGTTCTCCAAATCATCAGCAGAAGCCTTCTGAGATAATTTAGTGGTTTATTCCTTTTCTTATGATTTTCTATATTAAGGGAATGGTGACTGTCGTAGTCCATGTTTATTAGTATGTTATTGTTTCCTTGAACATCATTTACAGATTTTCATTATTCTTTTTGTAACTCCACTACACCGACTGCTGGTGTTTGTATAATTCACTTGCATTTACTTTGGTTATACTTATAGCTCCATACTCAATTCTAATTACTATGCCAAATTTCAGGTAAATTCCTTGCAAGCTTATGGGGTGGGGGTTTTATATACATATGGTTAAATACTTATCTACCTGTTCACATTCACTACACACTTCATATGCTACAGCTGTTGCAAGACAAGTTATTTCAAACAAAATGAGTCTATGTGTATTCTACGAAGAAAAGCAGTATCAGCTAGACTGCAAAGAATAGCCTCTCAGCTTACCCATCTTCTGAAACCTACATGAACCTGAATCTCTTCTTTCAGCCACTAGTACCTGCACTCATGCTTGTCAGAATTTATTTTAAGATGACATTAACAGAAAGGAGAGTAAAATTTGTCAGTAGGATTCAAAAATGGTTTTGTGTATGCACAGGTAGAGAAACATCCCACTCTGAAGAGCTGAACTTACTTTTTCAAGTTCTCACCTGTATCCACTTATCTGGAATAGCCATGGCTAGTCGATAATCAAATCCCCCTCCTCCCTCTGCAACAGGACGACAAAGAGCTGGCATTCCAGAAACATCCTGAAGTTTAAAAACCCCACAACATAATTTGCATAACATTGTAATTTATTACTTCTAATTTTCTAACATACAGCAATAAGTTACACAAACAAAGTAAACAGCTTCACAAATTGACCTGGGTAAGGAAGAAAAAAAATAACACACACAAAAACCCCAACCATGATGAATGATTACTACACCTAGATCTGCTGTTTGAAAGCAAAAGTTAAAGGGAAAAGCATTATGACTTTTCTCAAATACTTCACTACACAATATTTAACAGAGTGGGTATTTGAGGGGAAAGAGAGCTCAGTAGATGTACGATTTGAAATAATTATCTCTCTTCAGCTCCAAGTAATAATAGAAAGTAGTCAATGAAAGAAAAATTAAACCTTCATTTTGTTTATTGATATTTTGTACAAAGAATGGCATAAAAATAAACGACGCAATATAAAGCAGAGTAAGGAAGAACAATACAATCTCTCCTTTTCTAAATACACAAAACCAAAACTATTGAAGCAGCTAGCCCTAGAAAGTGACATGCTCTTACTGAGTAATTTTCCACTTTTATACTGATGGACATTGATCATTCTTAAATTCACAATTCAAACTTCTTAAAATATTTATTTTGCCATAATATTAGCCAATTGTGTCATATAGCTTTTTTTTCCTCTAAAGTTAACTTATATGTGTAGAAAATGCAAATCTCCAGTAATTGCAAAACATCAAACATCACTCAATTTAATAAAATCATGTCAGTGAGAAGCCATTCCACTACAATGGTTACGGATTAACATACTCCTCTTGCATCTACACAAGAGAATTTATGGAATTAAATTCTGACTACAACCAAGACTTAGTTAGGAAGCTTATTCTGGTTTTCTGAATTCAATCCAGTTTTCAATCCAATTGCTGCATTAGACTAGTGAAAAAGATACTTGCACTTGAAGCTATACATACATACACACACACACATTCCCCACCACCACCACACTCATAAATGAGACCAACCACATCACCACAATGCTCACGGATGGCATCCCAGCAGGTAGAAGGCAGGGCTGCCATCCAGAGGGACCCTGACTGGCTGGGGGAAATCTATCAACAGCAAGCTCAAGGAGTTCAGCAAGGACAATTGTCAATTCCTGTCCCTGCGACAGACCAACCCCCTGAATCCATAAGGGCTGGGCACTGCCAGATGGGGAACAGCTCCTGCTGGAAAGGCTCTGGGCTGACACCAAGCTGAGCATGAGCCAGCAGCCGGCCCTGGCAGCAGAGGTGGGCAGCAGTATCCTGGGCTGTAGGAACAGCAAAGCCAGGACATCAAAGGAGGGAATTTACCCCCATTTACTCAGCAGTCATTAGATCACCCAGAAAGCCACATCCACATTCCACATGCTGTGAACAACAAATAATGAAACAGAATTCCTTTCCAAAGTTTCATATTTTATAAAAGGAAGTTCAATAGCCCTCCTAAATCAGTCTGTTTTTATCTTTTCTGACTAATGCTCTCCCAGTTATGCAGGACAAGATGATCTGAAACAAAAGCCTTTCCCTGTGATGCTAGGATGTCTACCTGGACAAGGTCTGAGTCTGAGATTTAAGTATCTCCCATCTACTTCAGTCACAATTTTGACAGCCAGATTTTTGGGAAATAAAATTCCAAATTCAATTTAGATCTACAGATTTTACCTGAACCCTAGAAAAAATTTCAGTGTTAGACTATTCAGTATGTTTTCAACCAAATGCAAACAGCCAATGCTTAAGCATTGTTCAGACCTCATTTTGAAGTGAGCTGCATATATTTAAAAAAAAAAAAAAACACCACAGCAGTATGGTTTCTTTTTCCTGTTTGGTGTTATACTACTTCAGGCATGATATAATTTTCCATTTTTTCTTCTCATTATACAAAAGTTTAAACACAGCTTTATTTAGAAACTCAAAATGAAAAATAAACATATAGTCAGTAACACCTAAAAGCTTACAAATTACTAAGACAGTGAATACATGAAATATTAAAAACCTCTAAAAACTACCAGTTAAATAATTAAAGGAATTTATTATAATTAGTTATGGCTAAACAAAAACATTTTTCTCACAAAACACTCATTCCATCATCATTATAGGCAAGCAGACAATCTTCACTGCCTTTTGTAATTTTAAATTATGTCAATAGTTTCTCCTTCTGAAATTCTCCTTTAACCATGCAGGACACTGATCAATTTCATATTTTGTGTAGCGACTCCCCCAGGCAGGAACGTGATGTATTGAAACGGAAGCAGTTTCCAATTCAAGCAAGAAAAACTAAAGACACACCTTATTAAAAAAGAACTGTTAGGCCAGGTAATACAAGCAGTCTGAACTCAGAATTTCATTGGTAGGTAGGAATGCTTAGAATTTAAGACTATCTAGAACATTAAAAAATTTTATTTCAAATAAACATACAGCACAATGAAACCATCTCAAGTTTACTTGTAATTGCTCACTAGATGCTGTCTTTGATAGCTTGTTATTAAGCTTTTAGCAGTGTTTGACTATAATATAAAATTTTACTATAAGAAAGAAATGAAATTAAGCAGCATTTTGTTTCCTGAAGATAAATAGGGAACTCTTAAGCAATACAAAATGTTTTATTAAAAATCTGTATAGTTCCTAATGATATCAGATAGATGCAATGTTTTCTTTTAAACAGAGAAGAATTTTTCAAACATAACAGAAAAATCTTCAAAGTTTACATTTTTTTTTAGATAAAGAGTAAATATCAGTGAAAACATGTTCATAGAACATTATTAGTATGAAACACCAGAGCATTAACGATTTCATGTGCCAATAATGTTTGCCAGTCAAAAAAGTTTAATTGATCTCAATCAACTCAAGTAATATAGTCTATTTACTCCCTCAGAAACCTGGCAAAATTTATTACTGAATTTAAATTACCATACACATTCCACATTTATAAATGTATCACATGTATTTTTAAGGGGAATTGTCAATTATGCCATTATAATTCAAAATATGCAAAAACACACTAGGGCTGTTCATCTTTAGTACGATGAATCACTAGCAACAAATGGCAATCATGCAAAAGTAATAAACTAATAAAAACAAATCTCATTACAAGTTCAAGGTGATGAAGGAAAAAAAAAAAGAAATCCCCACATTAATTAATGACCCAATAATGCAGAGAAAATTCCCAAAGTTGTTTTTCCCCACAAGGCAAAGTCTGGCCACTAATTAATATTTCTCAGCTCCTGTCACTCCTTGAATACCCCAAGTGAGACTTGGTAATTAACAGGCAATTCACATCCTAAAGTAAACTAATCAATATTAATGTCAATGAGGATGGCAAATCCTGATCTTACCTCTGCTATGGTTATGCATTCTGGATGCAAGAACTTAATCATGTGGTTGGCCAGCATTAGATAACACAAAGCATCTTCATCCACATGTAGGCCAAAATATTCATTGTAATCTCCACTGAATCCTGTGCCTAATAAGACAGGAAGTTTTAAAGACCACAGCTGGCTGTCTTTTTTTTTAAGAAAACACATATTT